CGTACGCGAGCAATTAATATAGTATCATTGTAGTATCTATATAGATCCTTTGCGCATGTGTTAGACGCAGTTTTGGAACCCCTGCGTCTGGCGTGGACAAGCTCTCCGCCATTTTGCCACTCAATACGTTTATCACGAAAGCCAGCCGGTAGGCAAGGCTTGAGTTCTTAGGGTGAACGAAGTGAATGATGGGGGTGTGGGTGGCGGTGGCCGCACTCGGGCACATTTTGGAGGTCGATCCCTCAGCCTGGTGGGGGAGAGCGAAAAAAAATAGGTTCAGGAAAGCATCAAAAAAGCGGTTTGGTGATGCAAGTGATTTGAATGACGCCGAGTAGTGCATCATTAGCATCGCAAAGGGGTCTGGAGACCATTTTTCTTTGCTTTCTGGAGCATCAATAGCAGAAAGGGTCGCTTGCTATAGAGAAAATGTCAGAAGCTTTGCCAGATAAAACGTCAGAAGATAGTCCTGGTGGGGATCAATCGAATTGGGGATCACTCGAAATGTCAGAAGCTACTCATGATGGGGATCACTCGAAATAAGTCCGTGATTTTTTTGTAGAGCTTTCTTCTTGTACTTTGATCTTTGAGAAAGAGCACCCGACGACCGAAAGAGTCGAAAGGGTTGGACAAACCACCCCCAGAAGAGAATGTCAGAGGATTAGCCAGATAAACTGTCAGAAGATAGTGATGGTGGGGATCACTGGAAATGTTAGCAGATAGTCATGGTGGGGATCGCTCGAAATAACTAAGTGTTTTTTTATGTGGCCATAATTAGCAGAAAGGCCAGGTAGAATGTCAGGAGATAAAATGTCAGAAGATTTGCCAGAAAGCATGCCACAAGATATGCCAGAAAGAATGTCAGACGATTTGCCAGATAAAATGTCAGAAGATAGTCATGGTGGGGATCACTGGAAATGTCAGAAAATAGTCATGATGGGGATTACTCGAAATAACTAAGTGATTTTTTTCTGTGGCCATGTGGAAGACTTCAACACGATGCCCGAAATATCGCCGATCACCGCGAAAACACATATTTCGGGCATCGCTGTTTTTGTCCCGAAATTTCGCCGATCACCGCGAGAAACACATATTTTGGGCATCGCTGTTTTTGTCGTGTTGGCTCACGTATTGTTACTTCTCAGTTCCTTGCACCTTCACCTGGACAATTGGTGGGGATCATTGGAAAATAGTCATGGTGGGGATCACTCGAAATAACTCAGTGATTTTTCTGTGGCCATCATTAGCAGAAAGGCAAGGTAGAATGTCAGAAGATAAAATGTCAGAAGATAAAATGTCAGAAGATTTGCCAGAAAGCATGCCACAAGATATGCCAGAAGGAATGTCAGACGATTTGCCAGATAAAATGTCAAAAGATAGTCATGGCGGGGATCACTCTTGAAATAACTAAATGATTTTTTCTTCTGTGGCCATGTGTGGAAGACTTCAACACGATGCCCGAAATATGGCCGACCACCGCGAAAAACACATGAACCGGAAGCCACGAAGAATGCTGCGTGTGCGCGATGGCTGCGCGCACACTAAAAAGGTCCGTGCGCTTTTGCTGGTTTTCGTCCTATCAGGGAGGAACATTCATGTCTTGCGGCAGGTGGAGCACCGAAAGCAGATGTCGGAAAGTGAGATGCTTCTGGGACGCCCAGAGAGCGAGTGCAGCACTCAATATGTACATGCGATTCATTGCATACAATCTATTGCAGACTACCAGGATTAAGCTCATTTAGTCTGATGGCATGCGGTTACAGCTCAATAGACCAAAGCCAGAAGCATGTGAATGGAAGGTTACAAACGTTGTCACTCTTGTCACCTATGTAAGTCTCATTCAGTTTCCAGTCATTGTTGTTGACTTTTCGTGCATGTGCCACCTTGTTGACCATGCTTTGCTTGATGTGTAGTCCCACGATTGCAATATGTTGTGGTTGGTACGAAGAACATCAGCAGAAGAGCACTGAGGCGCGATCGGGAGAAGGAGCTCCTCAAGCAGCAGCTCTTCGAAAAGCCGGAAGCCCCAGGTCCGAAGAGAATCTCCAAGATGGTTTCCAACACATTTGCACCCAGGATACCCAGGTATTTAAAGGGGGTACGAGCACGTGGTGGTGGTGGTGGTGGTGGTGGTCGTGTTCGTGTTCGTGTTCGTGTTCGTGTAGTAGCAGCAGCAGCAGCAGTAGTAGTAGCAGCAGCAGTAGTAGTAGTCTAGTAGTCTAGTACTGTAGTACTGTAGTAGTAGTAGCAGCAGGAGTAGTAGTAGGAGGAGTAGTAGTAGCAGTCGTCGTCGTAGTCTTAGTCGTAGCAGTAGCAGTAGTAGCAGCGGTAGTAGTAGGAGCAGCAGGAGCAGTGGCTGTAGGCTCCCGCCTGAAGGCGGGAGAAGCTTCCCCGCAGAACAATTTGTATGGAAACGGTTCCTAGACTTAGACATTTGCGGGAGATCGTTGTAAACTTGTAACGTATACACTAACCGTGTTTATTTCCTAAGTGTCCTGAACAAAAATAAGAAAAAACTACTGACACGATGTCAACTTGTTCTTGAACTATGTTATGTTCTATCCTTGAGTTGCAGTGATTGGGTGACTAGGTCGTAAATGCTTACAGTATCTTACAGTAAATATTCCTTGCTAAGATTGTCACATCACTGTGATTAGAGGCCGCCCGTCAGCATTTGGGCCGAGTGTTTGCTCCTCCTGAGGTATGGCAATATCAATCCAAGGGCTGCTGCCAAGGTCTGACTGAATCTTCTCGATCACTGATTAGATATCAAAATATTAAATATCAAAACACTGAACACGTACACAGTTGATTTGTAGAGACTGATTGATGTTCTGCTGTCAGATTCACAACCTACAACCTGGACTGCATAAAGGGTTAAAACGCAGCCGATAGCAGCAGAGGACAGCTGCAAGCAAAAGAACACATGAGCTTGCCCAACACTGCCAGAGCTCCTTCTGATATAAATGGTCAAAGGACACAGATCCAAACGAAGCGATGAAGCAAAGAAAAACAGACACACACATATGCAAACTAGAGTCAGCAGAAGCAAGCATCCGGGAAAGCAGCCAAGCTGGCAAGCAGCATGGAAAGCAAACACAGCAGGGCGGTTGCCTCACTATCGGCACTTCTGGTTTTCAGGAGCAAAAGCCTGCTGACCCAGAAGCGTTGGACTCAGCAATCGGTCCTTCCAGTACCATTGTTACAAGATGTTACAAGAGGTAGGGATTTCCGATCAGCTGAATGGTTGGTACTTGTAGTTGTTAACGCACACACTCAAGATATTAAGCGTTCGATTTGATTGCCCCAAGCCCTGAAGAAGTCTGGGGGAAAAAGACGTCGTCTATAAGTAAAACCAGGTGGTAAGCAAGGCGGTCCGACCATCTCTAGAGGCTTCAAAGTCTAATTCCAAATCCCACACGAGTCATCAAGACAAAACGATCGACGGGCACTTGTTTGCAGAAAGCAAAACGGATGCAACGGCTGGTCGTCTTGTTCTAACTACAGTACAGCGGGTGCCAATAGGAAGTAAATAGTCATCATTTCAGCAGGTACACCGGATTGATCAAGTCCGAATTCCGCCATCACGCATAGCTTCGTTGGCATGCGTTTTCGTAACGGCCGCATGCCCCCTGCTAAAAAACAAGACAGAAACTCCATCTACCAAGACAAAGGGCTCCCTCCGATTCCAAGGGTTACACACACACACAGTGGCACTCTTAAGGTCCGTGCCGAGAGAAGAGTGATAGCGGTCAAGAGAACCCGGACATGAGTCACAAGATCATCATGGAGCATGAGAGGTCGAGGTGTAGGTCCACAGGTAGGTGTCCAGCGGTGGTATCCATCAGCGGTGTAGTGCAAAGGGACAGTGGACAATGGAGGTAGTCAGCCTCCAAGACAGTAGGATTGCCGTAGCAAGCGAGTCCCATCCAAAAGTCCGAACGGCAAACGCACAAGCGAGAATAGATCACGTCCTTGAGATCATCGACCGTGCAATCTTTGGTGTCGGCTTGGAACCGCAATGTTGATGACATTGAGAGGTTGGTGGACTGGGGACTGGGGCGACTGACGTCCAAGTCGAATCGTAGAAGCATCAAGTTGGGCACTTCAACGAGGGCACCAAAAGGAGCGTGAACGATATCGAAGTTCTGGCACAGAAGTCACTGGCAAAGGCTCCTTGCAGAAGGGCAGAATCCAGCAGCACCTCATAGATCTTACTACACAAACACCAGCGGCTCCAAGGAGAAGCTCTGGAAAATAAGTTCAGCTTCGCCCCACACAATTGCGTGCAGGTTCAACAGGAGGTTGTTCAGGAAGGCATAGATCGAGATCACGAGACAAAAAGAACAACCCAGGATGGACATTTTTCCACACCTACAAGAATCAAAGCCGGTGAAGGCCCGCAAGACAAAATAACACTGCAGGTGCCCCCATGGGTGGGAGGAAAGCCAAACTGTCGAGCATCCATGGTGGTAGAAAGGGGTCTCCGGAAGGTCTGCCGACTCGGCCACTCTGATGGAATAATTCGGGCCCACGGTTCCCTCTCCAGCCTTTGTAGCAGGAACAAGAAGCTACTGGCATCGCTGCTAGGAGCAAGGACGCTACTAGGGGCTCCTGGCATCGCTACTAGGAGCAAGAAGCTACTAGGAGCTTTAAACGCACTTGGCATTTCAACATGTTTTGAGACCTGGCACTCAGGAGTCTGAGCGGGTTCGTCTTGGGTGAGCCAGTCTCACCAAAGCCAAGAAGTTTCGTTCAGAAACAAAGAGAAAACAAATGTAGATCAACAGTGTACTTGCGGCTGCTTCAACAAATTGAGTGCAAAGCCTGCTGTAGACTCTTCAATGTCTTAAAGGCCGAGTTCTGCAAGTTTGACACCATGTGCAGCTGTTTTGCATAAGTGTGCAGTATCATGGTGGTGTATAGTTGTAACGTGTGGTAGTCTCATCCGTAAGGTCAAGTATCATTGATCGGTGATGATCCTTGCGGACGATTGTTGTATCGCCCGGTTCTTTCCAAAGGCCAGTCAGGCTGCTGAGGCCAAAGGAGCCATGGCATTAACTTGAGTTGACCCATGAGTGCTGATGCTGAAGGTGCGAAGTTGCTATCACATAAACATTTGCTAAACAAATAATTGAGCCAACTGGGGAGCATTGGGGGGCCCGGCAAAGCAGGTGAGGAAGCATCAAGGGAGGGCCAGTGCATCAAGGACGTTGTGCGATCCTTGATCAATGCCAAGGGGACATCCTCAACCCAATTGCAGCTTGCCATTAACTCCTCTTTGATTCCCAGCTGCAGAATTATCAACTTTGCGACATGAATGCCATACATGGCCAACATGCGAAACTCTGCTGGCTGTTGTCAAAGGGAATTGGAAGGAGCCCAGTGAGCCAAGGATGCAAGTGGCCAAGAAAAACTTTGACTTTGTGACGTTTGCTATATTTTCAGCCTTGGAGAATGAGGACGCAGATCATCAGAGGCTGTCCTTAGCTGCTACTGCCGGTAGACTAGCAGAGGCTCCTTATAGTTGCATACATACTACTCAATTTTTACACGACTCTGGAAGAAAATGGTAGCGACCGGCCAAAGCTGTGCCTCAGTAAGACAAGGCTGCAGTTGCTGCGGTTGCTTAGCCAACTGCTGGAGCAACGCGACCCTCGAAGCCTTGTGGTGCCGCGAACCCTAGCGAAGAATATGACAAGGCCTGGTAAAGAATATGAGCACGTTTCATGTTCTTCGCGTGTGTGTTAAAGCATGCAATTTTTGACCACTCTTTTTTGGGAAGAGCAGCCACTCGCTGCAATCATAGTGAGTTCCTTGCCAACTTGCTTTGGCGGAAAGGGCAATCCCTTTGCCGAGTCAGGAACATGAAAGCTCATATGTTTGTGGGGCTTTTCCTATCACTTCATCGCAGGCACTTGCTCTCGAATCCTGGACAGCCTTCAGCTGACGTGCTTTGTGAGCTGGCACCAATGCACCCAGATTTGGCTCGGGCACCTGGAAGTGCGTCTTTTACTTTCCTCCCCCGCCTCCTCTTCATACCTCCCACCAACAGCAATCACATCGCCAACATCAGAATCGTTGCATTCACATCACCAGCATTCAACTCGACAAGGCCGGTTCGCAACATCAAGTCACCAAGCCTCGGCTCACTCATTTGCCTGAAGCAAATTGATTGTTTCGGAACCACCAGATTATCACTGCGAAGTGGATTGACTCTCACACAAGAAAAGAGCGGTCTTACAAGAAGCACTTTTGTTGCTGAAGTAAGCATGGCTGACAAGTCGACGGCCTGGTTGCTGTGTCAGGCTAGAAACATACCCAGCACTTGACTGTCAGCAGAACGGTTTGTATTTTCTCATATTTTCTCCATGATCAATCTCTCAAATTTTGGTGCAACTGCAACTCATGTTCACAACACCGGACCATAGTGGTTGGATGTGGTTGGGATTTTATGTGCTCCTGGGTGATTCAGTGATTTTGCTTCATTGTACATACGCATGATGACGACAATTTTTTTGGTGACCTCGACCTCTTGATCCACTGGCATACAAGTTTATGAGAAGCTGTTTGTTTATCTTAACAGATTTTAACCAAGAAATGTCGATGTTTGTTTTTGTTTGCCCTCCCGCCTCCGATTTTCTGGAACGTAACGGTAACATCGCGGTAACACCAGCAGCGACACAGTCACGACACCTGTTCACTGTCTCACTTGCCTCCGATTTTCCTCCAGGTGCCCTTCTTGGAAAGAAAACATATTATTATATATATATATATAGCAACTGGAGTTAGTTACTAGGCCTGTATTCAGCTTCTGTACTTTCTCAACACGCGCAGGTCTAGATGAGTGGCTGACACAAGGCTGAAAAGATGTGACTATATATATACACAATTCTATACAGTATAGATAGATAGGTAGATAGTGATACTACGTATAAATCATGACTTGAACGCGGTCCGGTGCTTGGATCTTGCCCGCTCGAAACGTTTTTCTTTGTTTATGCATGTGAGTTTGTCCAGGTCTTGGGAGAAGTTTTACAAGGACTTTCCTCAGATCTACCCAGTTTCTCCTTGGAGTTATTGTCACAGGCTGCAGCGGTACATGCCGAATCCACATTCGCTCACTAGTGTGCAAAGACATGATCTGGAAGACTTGACAGCATGTGCATGACTTGTGTTTTATTGCGCAAGCGGGTGATGAAAACAAAGCATTCTTCTTGCGCATCATGTCCATTGCTTCAGAAGCTGCGTGAAAGCCAGGTTGCTGCTGCATCTCCTGCCACTCTGAAAGAGCGCCTTAATGAGGTGCGTTCCTTCTTGTTCTAAAGATGAAAGGGACTCAGAGAAAGCACCAGAGACAAGAGACTCATTCAAGCCGTGGTGCCGTGACAGTACAGTGAAGCGACAATGAGTGTAGTGTGCAATATGTATGTATATCTAGTATTATATATATATATATTAATACTACAGGAGGAAGAAAGTTTGCTAACAACTTCCCTCACGATTCTCATTGACATGACGTCGCTTTCCCAATAGAATTCCGGCGGACCAATTTCCACCCCGAACTAACTTTAACGATAAATTTAGTTCGGCGTGGAAAATGCCGGAATTCCACTGTGATTCCCTGTAGGATTCTAAGGGGAAAGGATTGTAAGTCACGTGTTTCCAGGCTTGTTAGCAACATTTAGCAACTCTTGTCCTGTGTATGTATGTATGTATGTATGTATGCATTTTTTTTCCTAGAGTGTCTTTTCGGACGAAGTCGATGGCTCATTGGCCTTTCCAGCCGCAAGCTGCCACTCCCGCTGCCAGCGCTGCTGTGGTTCTCCAGCAGTAGCTTTCAAAAGTAGTCCACCTCAAGGATGTGATCGGGCACATGACTGCTTTCAGAGGACTCACCGTCGATCTCATCATCATGCCGACTTCCTTGGGCCTGGTGAGGACTCCGTGGCTCTTCAGCCGAGGACCGGAGCTTTTTCGGCTCTGGTGGTGTGATTCTTTCTGGCTCTTTGGGCATCTGCAGCTGCTTGTGGCGGGTTGGCTGGGTCTCATGGCCTGTAGCCTCTAGTTCGGGACTGCCTGCATAGCAGTTCTCCTTGACTAGATCCCGGGGCATCTGGTGCTCTGTGAGAGCGGAAGCCTTGGGGGCAGAAGTGGCTTCACTGTATGTGAGCTGTTTGGGCACCAAGGGTGACGTGATGCCTGACGTACTGCCCTGTGCCTGACTGACCAGGTGTGGCTGGGTTTCATGGCCTTCCTGGAGCTGGGCATCTTCTGAAGAAGATTTGTGGGCTGGTGCTGGTGTGCCTGTTGCTGGTTGGCTGTCTTCAGATTGACTGGCCTTAGCCGTCTGCCTTCTGAAGATCTCGGTGATTGGTGGTGAGCCACTGATGGCTGCTCCCTTGCAACTTTTCTGCAGGGCATTCGGAGCATTCGTGATGATTGGCCTGTTCTGGGCATCTGTCTGCGTTTGAGTTCCACAGTTTTTGCAGTGCAAACGATCTCCTCGCTGCCACAAAATGTGGCTAACATGACCGGTGTGTGGCTGGTCGTACAGCCTGTTGATGCACTGGCCTTGGAATGCTTCTTCATTAGTTCTCTTGTGCACACTGTGGCCACAATTTGTACACCTGAGATACCCTTTGGTTTCCTCAAGGGTGTGCTGGCTATCTGACTGTTGGTTGTTCTGCTTTTCCAACAGGTGATCTTTTTCTGGATGGGCTTGTGTGGGCTGTGGTGCTCCGGGTAATTCTCTTCAATCTGAAGCTGAGGACAGATTTGCGCCAACCTGTCTTCAATCGTTGCGGCTGTTAGGGCTTGATGTATTCTTTCTCCACAGGCACTGCACTGGTAGCCACTTCTGTGCGGTTGCCATCTGTGGAAAGGCGCTTGCCAGGGCTTTCGGCAATGTTGGACTAGTTGTTTCTTGTGTTGTTTGGTCTGGCGGCCTTGATGCCTGGGAGCCTTCTGGTGAAGGTAGTGTTCTTTGTCTGCGTAGATCTTGGCCAGTCTGGCTGCTGCATGCTTGTGGTTTTCGGCATGATCCGTATCGAGGACCTCTTGCCATTCAGTGGCCTTCTTGTCATGTAGGGAGTTGGGCGGCTCCCAAGCTGCTAAGGCGGCATCCCGCTGTCGCCTTTGAAGGTGTGGTTCACTGCCAGGAGTGTCAGGTGTACGTGTGTTCTTGCTGACGTAGAGCACTGTGACTCGCTGGAAGTCTTCAGCAGTGAGACCTTCATACAGGTCTTGGTAGGTCCAAGCTTCCCAAACTGCAACCACTTGCACAATGACTTTGACAGCCGTGCTGGTGTGTTTGGCAAGTGCTGCCAGGCCTGCTACCAACGCCCTGGTTTTGGTCTGCGGGTTGGATGGAATCCCTGTAATGGCTCCCAGTCGGTGCAATTGTCCAGTGCGTAAAGTGTGTACACAGAGTCCAAACACCCAGAGCTGGCTTCTCAAGTCATAGGTCGACGGGGTAGCATCCAGGGTGAATGCCCAACCTTGGTACTGGCTCCTCGTCATGCTGGGTGAGCCTTTCTGCCCATTCTGGAGGCATGGGTTTGTGACCACGTGCGTGGTGCCATTTGCACACCCACACTATGTGCTTTGGTGTCGCCGGTACCCCGCAAATGGGGCACATCTTTGGCTTGCCATTCTCTCTGAAGTGGATTGCACCCTGGACCCATGCTTTTAGGTGAGTTCGATGCTCTTGTTTGATCTGTTGGCGGTAGACATGCCAGTCCAAACCTGTCAGGAGGTGCTGATGGTGTGGCCTCTGTGCCAGCCTGGTGATTCTCTGGCTCCTGGCTTCAGTGAGCAAGGCTTTCTCAATTTTCCACCATGGGTCTTGGAGGTTGATCTCATTCTCGACCATGAAGTTCGTGGCCTGCCGTGTCCACCGGTGAAGACTGGTGGCTTGCCACTTCCATTCTGCCAGATAGGCAATAGTGGCTGCTAGAGGGCCTTTCACAGTGTACCATGGATGGGTCTTGTTGGTCAACTGGTGGTGGATGTGCTGTCAAGCCTGCTCCAAGTGTGGAATCTGGTCTGTGGGCCATGCCTGGTAGAGGGTGTGCAAGGCTCTGATGTGGTGGATGACAGCCTGGTCAGCCGGATCCAGGTACTTGTTGCTGTGTATGTCAAAAGTTGCGTCCAGTGCGCCACCCGTGTGGGGCCAAGTTGGGTGGCCAGCGCTGCCCTCACAGCTAGGTGCTAGGCCCTGAGCTTCCAAGCCCCATAGTGCAACAGGCTGTATTCCACCCTTGTGTAGCCTGAGCCTCACTTTCAATCAAAGAGGGGATCTTGAGGGACCGGAGCTTGAGTTTCCTCTGGTGGGCCTTGGCAAAACGCTGCTTCATGACCGGGATGCGTCACCGCCGTGCAGCTTGATGGTCGATGCCATGAGGTTGAAGCAGGTCTCTCAGTGCTCGATCTGTTGCCTTGTCTGTGGCCAGGAATGCAGTTTTTTCGGCGTTGACTTTGAGCCCCAGCTGGACAAGCCTGTCATGAAGATCCCTGTAGGCTTCAATGGCTGTCTTGGCTACCTGCATGGGTGTGCTGCCGTGGGTGTCATAGCCAATGTCATCAACCCAGCTTGACAGGTGCACATGGTCGTGCTCTTGCTTCCATGGGATGAGTGCTGGTGCCAGGACTGCTTTTGCAAGCAATGGTGCTTGTGGACATCCTGCAGGGATGCCTTGGTCAACTCGAAAGAAGGGAGTGAATTCTTGCTCCGCTGAGATGGCCTTGGGTCCCGTGTACAGTTGCATAGCCAGCTCGAGCATCAATGGTGGGTATCCCAAGTTCATTGCTTCTTCCTGGAGGCGGCTGAGGTTGATCGTGTCACGTGTCCATCAACACCGTGACTCCGTGAAGGCCTCTTGCTCGGTGGACTTCCTGCCTCGGCTCCAGGCCTGGCCCGATCATGGTCCATGGTGGCTGGCAAGGTTTTCTGCCATTGATTCAACAGGGGCTTTCTAAGTCGACGCCAGGTCCTCCAGAGAGTGGAAGTGAGTGTAGTTGGTCTCTCGATGTTGGGATTCTTTGGCAACATCACCACCATGTGCATTTGGAGTTGAGTTGGCAGTTCTGCTTGGGCTTCCATTGTATGGTAGAGCTGGAGCAGTGGTGCCAAGGAAAGGGGTGGTGCTGCTTTGAGAAGTTGGGTAGAGACGGCATCTGACCCACTGGCTTTGTCAGCTAATCCCTTGAGGACTCTTGTGAGTTGTCCGATCGTAAGAGGCTCGAGGGCCTGTGCCTGTCCTTGCGCTTCCTGTTGGAGGCTTGGTCTTGGATGTGCTTGGTTGTCGTCCTGGATGCCCCAGAGATCTCCCCAATCTTTGAGCCTTTGTGTCATCCTCTCAGGCATTGGCACATGCCTGTAGGGTCTCTGCCAAGCCAGTTCACTGCTTTTGAGCCCTCGGAACAGACCCCGCAGACCTTTTTGTTGTCCTGTTTTGAGCCACTCTTGGTATTGGAGCATGTTCTCGTCGTTGGCAAGTTGTTGTGCTTCTTTAAGCTGATTGATGGTTGATAGTCTGTAGCATTAGTTCTGCCGCATGGGGATCCCTGTGTTTGTGCCAGTGATGCGTTGTATCAAGGAATTGTCCCCGTGTTGGCGGTCCCTGCCAGTGCTTGTGCACGTCATTTGTGGCTTGCATGAAACCTTGGACGGGGCCATGTTTGGTGCCTTCCGGTTGCTTCAGTGTAAGCTGGAATCTGGCTTTGAGTTGTTCCCAATAAGCTGGCTTACCTTTTTTCCAGGTCTGGGTTGGTGTGATGGGAACCAAGGGCTTGGTGATTGCTTGGAGATTGGAGCCTCGTCCTTGAGCAGCCCACGGATGCTCTTGGAGCAGGTATTGTTCGGTCTTTGAGAGCCAATCCGCCCGATGCTGGGCTGCTTCATTTGAAGGGTTGCCATAGAGACATAGCTCATGTGCCAGGCTCTGATAGGTGGTCCATGGCCTGAAGTCAATGTCCCGGACTTTGGGCAGTGGTGGAAATTGTTGGATCTGTCTGTACTCTCTTGTGGCCGCCTCAATGTCAAAGTCAAGTGTCAGCAGAGCATGTGGCCGCCATGGTACTGCCCATTCTGTGGTCAAAGCTGTTGCGCTGGCAAGGTTGTCTTGGAGTAGACTGTAGTCTAAGACGTTGCCTGAAAGCACACTGTGATCAGCTGCAAGTATGCCGAAGTGGAATTTTGCTGGCAGGACTGTGCTGGCGATGGCATCAGGTGAGTTCCGCCAATCTCCAATGATGACATACGGGTGCTTGGTGGCTTCAATCAGAGCCAGCATTCTTCCAATGATGGCTGCATTTGTCTCACTTTGGAGGGTCTCATTGGTGCGAAAGTAGATGCCTATGACCAGAATCGTGGTCTCTGTGGCCTGCCATTGTCACTATTTGGCCAGGCGGGTGTGCCAAAAGCAGTTCTGCCTCTCATATTGAAGTACTGACAGACTTCACTGTACCTCTGTGGATCTAGATGTGTCTCTGCGAAAATATGTACTTCTCCTTCTCTTGTCCAGTACCAGTCAATGACTTGTCGGCCAAAATTGGTGACATTGCCATAGTGGAGCTTGTTGTGTCCTTGGGATTTCCTGGCCCTCTTTTGTGGGCTTGGATGGAGCGGCGGGTCGTAGTCTGGCTCCTCAGGTGGTGGGAGACTGTGCCATATTTGCTGAGGAGTCTTGAAGGTATCCACACTGACCGCCCAAATCTGTGTGATTTGGCTTGCCAACTTGGGTGTCAAGAAAGGCAAATAGGTCGGAACCTTGCCATCATCTGCCAACCGCATCAAGTCTCTGTAGATAAGAATTGCGAAATAGTGACCAGTGGTGTGGGTTTTGCCTCGATGACATATGAGGACTGATGGGACAAATTCAGTCGAGGTTCGTGCAAAACCATCCAATGATCTAGGAACTGTGAAAGTTCCGTAAGGATTGAGCGTCTTGTTGTGCTTCGTAGCAATGCCATCCACACACGTGATCACATGGCAGATGAGGACTCTCTTGTCATCCATGAGATACTGTCCCATGCCTTGGTTGGCCCAGTTGTTGATGAGATCCTGGAATTTGACATCATCAGGCCAGTCATCCGAGTACGGAACCAAGATAGGCATCTGAACATGATCAACGAGATAGCCGTTCTCTTTGATCTCAGCAAATCGGTAGTGGAAAGCTCTGGTTTGAGAGTGTAGCCACAACGAATTCACAAAATGGCTGGCATCACCTTGGAGGTTCAAATCATGTTGTTTCCACAGAGCTTGCAAACCTGGTAGCTGTTGTAGATCGACATGTTCGGCTGTGTCCAAAGATTCCTGCACAGCCTCTTGCAAAGAACCTGAAGGTTGTGTGCTTGTCTCTTGCAAGAGTGCACATGTCCATGTGAAAGCTCTCCATGGGGCATTTGCAAAACAATGAGCGCTTGGATTTCCAATCGTCATTGTGAGATTCTGCAAAATGCAGTCTGTAGTCGAAGCATATGTGCCATAGGAAACTGCCCGTGTGTGGCCTGGTCAGTGTGAGCGCTCGAAGAGGCGCCTCCTTTGATGGAGACGTAGGGCTGACCATTCGCAGGCAAAACATGTGCACTTGGCTGTGAGCTCAAAAGAAAAGTGGAAACATTGGGCTGAATCTTGTGTTCAGGTGGTTCAGCAGCATCTTGGCATGAAATTGCCCCTTCATGCTGGATGTTGCTTGTTCCCCGGTTGAGAGATTGTTCATTGCTAACTGCGCTTCCATGCCAAAAGCCTGGACTCCGATTTTCAGGAGGGCCTGGTCGGGACTTGTGATGCCAGCGCCCAACTCAGCCAGCCGAAGCAGACGAGAATGGAAACCATTCACGCCATGCCCTCATTGCGGCGCAGCATTTCGACGCACTGTCTGCCAAAGCTACGCGCTCACTCGGCCTTTTCCTCCTTCATCAGAGAAGCTTGCCGCCATGGATTGCTCCCCAGCAGCCTCTGCCATGGACACATCACTCATGCTGAGGAGGGGACACCGTGTGACTTCACGTCTCCGGGCCATGTGTGGAGCTCCCAAGTCACAGGACTTGCGAGAGATGTTTCGATAGCACTTCATCGCACCAGAGAAGGCGTGCAAAAATGTATGTATGTATGTATGTATCTGTATGTTTTGTTATGTTATGTTATGTTATGTTGTGTATGTATGTATGTTTGTATGTATGTATGTAGCTGTATGTCTGTATGTATGTATGTATGTATGTGTGTATGTAACTGTATGTATATATATGCATGTATGTAACCGTTTGTTTGTCTGTCTGTTTGGCTGTCTGTATGTATGTATGCGCATTATACAGTAAGGAATAGAGACAGGGTTTGAACATTTGGGCAAATTGGGAACGTTAGGTTTCCCTAAAAATCTGGGAGCCAAATAATTAGTGCGAGCGCTTCTTCAAGGAAGCTTCCCCCCGATAGGGCGGCGGGGGGATGAAGAAGCGCGAGCTATCCTGCGTCCTGTCGGTAGTAGCTTACTTGCAGCTAGTATCTACCTCATTAGCGGGGGGGGAGCGGGCCTAAACAAAAAAATGATTAAACAAAAACAACGTCACGCAGCTTGGAGGTCCTTTCCAAGTGCTTCAACTTGCTGCAGGGCTGCCGTGTAATGGATGTGCGCCTTTTACTGTTACGTGCCTTAGCTATCTCAAGTCATGTCCACTCAAAGGGGGTTCAGCCAGCTTGATTCATGTGTTTTTCTACAGTTTGCGCTGTCGTCACTTTTGCATTTCATCAGAGAAACACAGATGTAGCAACTAAAGCACAGAGAAACATAGGATACCACATGAACCCAGGAACGTGGTGCTCCCTTTGCAGCTTGGCTGAGTCAATTTGGTTTCAAGAGATATCATAAGTCATTGTGTATATATAATTACTGTATACTTAATACTGATACTGATACTGTAATTGCAGAAGAACAGCTGGAACCAAACGCCCATTGAACCGATGCATTTACAGTCGCTAGACTAGAGGTTTTGCGATACAGGTGATATGTAGGAAGCATACGGTGCTAGCAACGTAGTGCGTCATCCAGGTTTCAACCAAGTATTCTAAGGATGCACAAGTAGCTGATGCTAGCAGGCAACGACGGTGCTCTCTATTCAAGGTTGACACAGAGTGCGGAATTGAATTCTGCCAGCGTGCACTTTGGCCTGATCCAAGATTTGGTTTGTGGTTTGTTTGTCAATGAACCACCGGCAAGGCACTGCAATTGTGAGTTGCCTTTTTCCCGATGCCAGCCCATTAGATGCAGGCACCTTTGGGATGCAACGTGCCACAACTCCTGCCATAACTCTTTTTGAAGATGTTTTAAGGAATGTGTTTGGAGCGGGGACAAGTGACCTTCCCCGTCTTGGAATTTCTACATGAGGGGGCAGCTTACACAGTACCTTCAATTTCTTATTATTGTTTCTTTTGCTTGCATTTGCCGAAACCGACTTCTGGGCAATTGGCATTATAATATAAGGTGCGAAAAGCCCAGGGGCCCAGGGGCTAGACTGGTGAGAGTCATTTTGTAGAGTTTTCATGGTGGGATATTAAGTTATTGAGAGATGAAGAAAGTTAAAAACTACTTGCCGCATCTTGCCGCAATGCCCACGGGGTTTAGTGCTTGAACGTTTGAGTTGTTTTCATGTTTGTTGATGTCATGTAGAATTGCCTTGAGAATTTTTTTCAACCACTAACTATTGCTCTCCTGTTTTCTGCCGATGTCACACGCCGCTTGTTGAGCAATGGGTTGTTCGCTTCTGTGCACTGTGAACGACTCATTAGGCGGCTGTCCATTTGACATTTGACCCTACAATTGGATGTTGATCATTCAACCTACCAGCGTCGCAGGGCTTCATGTTGCGGATACTTGTCAAATCTGGGCACCATTCCAATAGTGAAGTGTTGACCTTTCAACGTTCCCATCACCAGGCCACCCCTGCTTTTCGCGGCACTTCGCTGTGGCTGCCAGCCCCATGCGTGTGCGACAGACAGCTGCAGGGAGCCCAAAGGAACCAATGCAGAATCGGCATTGGGCATGAACAAGTCACTGTACTGGCTATATTGACATCCCGATTGAATGGTTCCTTTCAGATGAAGCTGCCTGTATGTCCGATTCTGTCAATGCGATTCAATAAAGTAGCTCAGACCTGGCTTTGCACTATTGCTGTCATCTTCCGGAGCGAGCCAGCCGCCCAATCCCTGCCAGCCCAATGCTGCACGCCCCAGTTCCAAGGCAGATCCAGACGGTCGCAAGACCACCCAAGTGATCAGTGCAGTCTTTGCACTGCTGATGAGTTCTTGGACCAATTGGAAGGAGGGGTGACTGCTTCTGATGTGGTCACGACGGATTGCTTTGGAAGCCCACCTTGGTCACCCTTTAGAGAGCTCCTGGGGTTCTTACTTCAAGTATAAGAAGAGGTGCCTGTGTCCGCTTTGGAGCTTGGGTTGATGCTGCCAGATGTGTGGCTGTGTCCGCTTTGCAGCTTGGGTGCTGGTGCTGCTCCAGGTTACCGCCCAAGGGTGGTGACCTGTCAGGTGCCACAGGTGCTGGCAGGTCCCACCACCGAGGCTTGGGGGCCGTTTCGGGTGACGAACCTTCGCTCGTTCCATCTCGTTCCTCTTGGCCGAAATTCCACCGCGACTCACCTTGCAGGCATGGCATGAGACCATGCGTCACGACGACCCCCCACGGCGTTGCCTTAGGGGGTATCGCGAATTAGCCGTGTAGGGCGCCGTTTCACGCAGGGGCACTGGTCCCCAGTGAACGGGACGAAATCTCCTATGCCCTACGATGCCCCAATCGGTCTGTTTGGAGGATCAGACGGGCCGAACCCGCCGGATGTCCAAGAGTCTTGGGCCATGGTTTTGCTCAGCCTCCTTTTTGGAGATGTGGAGCTGCACATGCTGTTTAATTCGACATGTACTCAGGAGGATTGTACGTGATTGTTTTGGGATAATTCTATAGTAAAAATGGATTCAAGTCATGCAGGGTGGGATTTTTGGAACTCCTCGGAGACGGATCCATCACCAAGATGGATCCCCAGCTAGCTCTGGGGGGTGCGTCACCATCGCTTTGGTCTGAATGGAGCGTCTCTCTGATCTGAGGGTGCTGCTGCGACGTGTTTTGGGCCCTGTGTGCTTTGGAGCCTGGGTGCTGGCACGCCGGAGGGCCCACAGTTCTTCTTGCAAACGGGCGTATTTTTTTGTTGCTTGTTCCACACATGTCAGACCCTGGGTTGCCTAGATCTTGAAAGTTTGAGGCCTGAGGCTTCAGCTAGCTGCAATGGTCCGAGAGCCGACTCATGGTCCCAGAGTAGGCCACTCAGGCTCGAAGCCTTAAATTAAACTGAACTAGGTCACGCCCTGCATAGCGGCCCGGGGTTTCAGAAAAGGGCGTGCGAACTGTTGTATTTTCTTATTTCAAACGGTTGGAGGATGTTGGATGCCATTGCTGGTTCCTTTTGCTATTATTTAGTGTACTTATTTTAATTTGCAGGTTTCACGCAGGGTCAAAGACTTGTGGCGCGCTGTTGCGCCACCACTGCCAATTGTAGCAGTCGTCGAACAAGAGTGATGCATCTGGAAGATGTTTGTTGTCCCAAAGCGTTCAGCCGTATCACTGTAAACAAAGGGCTGAACTCTAAAAACCCAACTGGTACCAGAAACCGACCCTGACGAAACACCACCACCAACACTCCGCACAAACAGCATGGCACTACTCACTACTCGACTCGGAACCAAAAATCAGCCACAAATTCAAAGGACAACTCATACATGACAGAAGATTAAACACAGAACGTGCGCAGTAATTCTAATTCAAGGCGCAGACACGCGAGTGCATTATCGTCTTGAAGGATCATCAACTCGAATATGCTAGTGAAAGTATATATATATATTAGGAAGTATATAAACGCAATGGACTGTCCAGTGACCGCAAGTATGACAAACAAAAAACGTTCTTAAATACCGAATCCCTGGCAATGCAAATTGAAAGGAATCACATTCAACATTGAGCTTTTGGGGGGAAGGGGTTTCTGATGTTTCTGACAGTTGCAGTTACTGACTCAGGGGGGTTAATATTAATTTATAATATCTTGTCAATCTTATCCATCTACTGTAGTCTTGCAAAAAGGTTCCACTATCCATTTCTTAATTAGTTTAGCATCTTATCATGTTTACGCTTTTACGCTGGAAAGTTCGGCTAGAAGCTAGAAGCAGGGTTTTGCATCATAAGTAACCTTTTGCGAGCCGAACGTTTCAATTGACTTTCGCAAGAATGGAGTGAAACAGACACCGGGATGGTGTTGCTTGTTGGGGCGCGCATCTCTCACCAAGACCAACAACTGCATGCCCAAATTCGTGGACGGTCAATGCCGAGCACACAGTTGGATATCCATGCATGCTGCATCATCAAGCAGAAAGCAGTGTCAATCCCTAAGTCCCTGGCCCAGGGCCTCCCTCTTTTGCATAGCCAGCTGAGAACTGACTGATGGATGCACCAACCGTGACAAACCCTGAATGAAGCGAAGCACTATATACTCGTACTGGGTACCAAGATATTCACCTCCCTGACACCATGTGCACACACCCACCTTCCAAGCTCATGTACATCACAGATAAATTCCTCAAAAACTCCAATGCCCAAATCAAAGCTCGTGCTGCCTGAACGAGCAACATGCTGTGGACCATTCTGTTAAAATTGCTGGAGGCAACCCACACCAATCTCCTTTGGAGACCCTTCCTCTGGGGTCTTCTTCCAAAAGTCTCTCCATTCAGTGCATTCAGCCAATAGAACAGAGCGAATCCTTTTGCTTCATTCTTCTTGCAAGACAATCCAAACCCATTCGTACCTCATCGATTTTACCCTTTTCTTCCTGCCTCCAACGCATCAAGAGGCCATCATGTTTTCATTGTCGTGAGTCGTTCAATCGTTGATCTCCACTCATTCTACTTTCCCACTGCACCATTCTGACTTTTGAATTCCACTCAGTCATACTCAGTCTATCTCAGTCTATTTTTCAGGCGTTTTGCTTTAGAAGTGACTGAGACTGAATCCATAACAAAAAAGGCAAACATAACGGAAGAATATGTAAAAGTGTCAACTTCACATTCACAGTGTCCGGCTTTTTTTGGCGTCAAGCGTTCAAAGAGATTCTTGCAAGTTCGCACCAACGCAATTAGAGAGTCTTGGACCTTGGAGCATATGTTTGGGAGTTAAATGAGCCAGCATTCTAGTCTAGTCAATATTGACATCCAACGCAGTCACACTCTTCGAAGTTTCATTGAAGCGGAGTTTGATGAGTTTTTGTGGGGCAGGATCAGAATCTCCGAGTTGCGGTAGTGGACACTCTCGGGCATTTGAGCTTGGTCATTCCAAAGGTTTCTTGGCAGATATTGACCGGAAGGTCCCTACTTCACCAATACAAAGCAATCGAGTGTTGCTGTCATTGTTTGACTTGTCGTTGATAATTTGTTGCTTGCAATTTCGATATAGGAAACATCGGTGAACAATTCAACCTTATGAGGTTGTACTGGTACTAGATATTTGTCCATGCTTCACTGCTTAACACACTTCGAACTTGGGTTTTCAGTTAGACTCAATTGCCACGTTGGGAAGTAAGGTGAGGGAACGGTAAGGCGAGTGAGTCGGCCGAACAGTATTGTTTAAAAATGTTGCTCTCACAACTGCGGTGTCAGGCGACAGAACGCGCGGCGGCTGCAAGTGGCTGAAAGAAAATGGTTTGAGGGGTAAGTGCATGAAGAACCATGGAAACAAAAAGAGCAAATGGGACAGCGTGTTCAACAGTTCCAAATTGTTGCAGGTACACACGGGTGATCAATCCGTGCTTCCCACTCCAAGGCATAGCTTCGTTGCACTGAGTTTGCCAAGGAGTGCTCAGTGCCCCTGCTTCAGTGGAACAATGAGGTGGGAACATGGAAAACCCTTAGAACCAGGGTGTGACACACACACGGTGCCGCTTCGCGGCGCTCGTGTGGGAGGCCTAAATAGACACCTAAAAAGCCTTAGAAACGAAAGGAAAGAAAGACAGAAAGAGCAGCGCTAAGAGGGCAAGAAAGAAAGGTAGGTGTAGAAAAAGTGAATACTTAGCCCTTGACTGGGGTAGGGAAACAAGCCTCAAGAGCGACCTAAAAAGCCTGAGAGAAAGCCCGACAAACGAAGAAAAGCGCAAGAAGGAAAGTGGGTGGCAGGGAGGGGGTGTATGTCCATGTGTGTGTGTCCGTGTGTGTGTGTATGAATACTTAGCCCTCTAGAATTACTGAATACTTAGCGGAAACGAATTAGATGCAGTAGTTAGGGAGCGGGACTTTAGTCTTAGACCGCCCGGGTAGAGAAGACTAGAACAGGAACAACACAGGGAAAGGCACCGACACACAAGTGTGTCGAGTACCATTTCCCTATGTTGCCCTAATTAGGTGGGGAGTAGAACTCGGCTGGGGGGGGGGGTTGGGAAACCTGCCTGATTGCGGGTGGAATGCCGTTTTATAGCCCGGCGGCTCTGGATTCAGTGGTGGAGTGGATTCCATCGTTTATAGCCCGGCGGCTCAAAGTTCCGTTAATTCAGTTATGAACATGAAGCGGAAAGGCAGTTATAAAATAGGAAGGTCGGTGATTTCCAGTATGATTTCAGCGCCTCCTTTCGGAGGGTCACACCCAGTACCCATGTGGGAAGACGGCTGCAAGTGGCTGAAAGAAAATGGTTTGAGGGGTAAGTAGCATGAAGAACCATGGAAACAAAAAGAGCAAATGGGACAGCGTGTTCAACAGTTCCAAATTGTTGCAGGTACACACGGGTGATCAATCCGTGCTTCCCACTCCAAGGCATAGCTTCGTTGCACTGAGTTTGCCAAGGAGTGCTCAGTGCCCCTGCTTCAGTGGAACAATGAGGTGGGAACATGGAAAACCCTTAGAACCAGGGTGTGACACACACACACACAAGTCAATTCAATATACAGTACCTTCGGCACTGAGGATCAATTCTTGACCAATGCTGATGCATTGCTGCTTGGTTGTTTTAATGAGCATCATCTTTGCACAATTGTGCAAACGTCAAAACTTTCGAACGTGCATGTTGGAGCATCACAAGTTCCTAGGTCCTAGGCAGTTGCGGAGTTTCAGGTTGTATGTACAGTTGCGAACGATGGTCAATAGAGTAGGCAAAGGTCCATACAAGTTTGTTGGAGAGACTAAGCTTACCAGGCTAGCCGTCCTTTTTCCATGCTGTTCCTGAATGCACAGCAAGGTTGGAACACATTGTTTTTCTCCTTTCGCGGCAGGCCAGCGTCATGCTCTAAGCTGTTGAAGTGACAGGAGTATAGTATAGCAAGAGGTCTTTGCTTCACCCTGCAATATTACTAAATAGTATTATATAGTAATGGCATCATAGTTGTCTTCAGCCAGAGAGTGCGATATTTGGCAACGAGAAAAGACAAGTTCGTGAGGGGCATGGACCAAATCACAGATGCTAAGCGTTCCACCGGACGATTTCAAAACTAAGCAGCTCTTGCAGCCAAAAGGAGCGCAATACTTAAATGAAGAACGCGAGTGTTCTGACAGCTGATTACATAAATGGAACTGAAAGTAACAGTATCGCATCGTTCTATGTGGCGCGCCCAACAACATGGGGGGTAGTCGCGCGCCACTTACTTGTGCTAGCTGAAAGCGCACGCCTCTATATAATCATATACTGTATATATGAGAGTCGGAAACCCCTGAAACATAACTTTAGACCAAACGCAAATGTGAGAATCAGACCTTGCATTTTTCATGTGTTTTTCTGTGGTGCACGCAAGCAGGCGCTAGGGCGGGCGCAAGGTTCATTATGTAGCTTACTTGTAGATTGATACGCAGGTGCATTGAAATAAGATGAATGGGACAACCTTGGAAAGTCTATCATTTCGTAGCTATTTGGCAAAGGCTCAGGTTGGATTGTAGCAATGGAGTTGTGTGGAAGACCTACCAATATGTAGGTGATGGGTTGAAGTCAAAGAAACTCAAAAGCTGGAGGCTAGCTTTTGAATGGAGTGCAAATAACACTGTGGCTTGCGCGGATGCACCCAGGTCGAAAAAAGAAAGAGGGAAATGAGCCAGAAAGAAGAGTCCAAGGAGAAGAAAGGTATTTCCCCAAACAGTGTGGACACACTAGGGGTTTTTACGGTAATAGAAAAGCAGCTGATGCTGAGAGGGTTTGAACGGCTAATTCGTTGCTATTTACAGTACATTCATGCCTCTCGAAATCCCCAACTGCATTTTGACTGCGCAGGCTCGCAGAGTCTGGGTGTTTGCAGCGGGTGCTTCTGACGACTGTGCTCTCGTTGTGGTGCCGTGCGCATTTTCGCATGTGATGGTCACTTTTCGTGGCAGGCGCAAGGGAAACCCCGTGTTTTGGCGCTTCAAAGTCGACTTTTCGTGACAGGTGCAAGGGATCGGAGCTGTTTTACTTCGAACTGCAGTTTTCGTGGCAGGTGCAGCAGTTTGGACACCCTATAGATCGGGTAAGACAAAAAATTGTCCTAAAAAGTTAACTCATATTTTTTATCTTTTTTGATTAAAAATGAGGGGTAACTTTTTTTGACGAAAAAGGTAACTTGTTAGAGTTATAACTTTTTGAATTATTTTTTTCAGAGGTAACTCATTTGAGTTAACTTTTTTTGCAACAAATATTTGTAGTGTAGAGATGTTGTTTGTTCCTTGAGTCATTGATCCATGGCTGCTCTGGCCTATGTTTTCATTGGGCTTAGTTGAGTTTTGCAGCAGATAGGATTACTGGTTGGACTGTCTGTAGGATTACTTTTGGTCCTTCATGTTGGACTTGTTTACAGGATTACTCTGTCAATCACATGTGCTTTCATGTAGGATTACTTGTTTTGCAGGAAAAAGTGCTTGTTCAGGCGGCCTTTCAAGCTCATAAAGGTATAAGTGGGGGCTCAGCAATGGTGGTGGCAGAGTTGGCCCTGCTGACCATAACTGTGCTGATGGTGCTGATCTACTTGCAACTGCAAAGGCTGGTGAAGGTGCAGGAGGTCATCAAGGACTATGTGGTGAGCTCAAAGGTGCTACTTTCAATGATGGTGCAACCAGAGCCAACAGAAGCAGACTTGCAAAGATGGAGGTGAATAAAAGCTCTTGTCTGTGCGCTGTACACAGGTCTTAGGATTACTGTTCTCTCTCTCTCTCTTTCTCTCCTTCCCTCTGTGTGCATTAGGAGTATTTCTGCGCTTAGGATAACTGCTTTCTTTTCCAGCCTTAGGATTACTTGCGCGCTTGGGCCTTCAGCTTCTGCTCTTGTACCTAGGGTTATTTCTCTGTGCAAACTCAGTGTTACTGCTGGCTGTGTGGGAATGATTGCTAAACTGCATGGTTGTGTTTTCTGTGTGGGTTTGTGTGTGAGACCAAGTAGGTCAAGCAAACCGTTTTTTTGGTTGAAGGGTGGAACTGTAGTAGGATTACTTTGATTGGTTGACTGCTACCTGCTCACCAAATAGCCTTTTAAATTTTACATGCCAGGAAGCGATGAAGATGAAGGCTTGCAGTGGGAAGTGGACTCCCAAGGTTAGAGGCAAGCTTGGTGAAGTTGAAGAAACTGATCTTTGCAGATATACTAGCAGTGTTCCTGTTTTATATGTGCCTATGAAGCCTTGGTAGGATTACTATACCAATATTGGGGTTGCAAAATTATGTTGTCACTTTTGCAGGTGCGACATTGGTGAAGGGTGACCTTCAATGATGGCTTCCTTGCTGGCAAAGCACTGTGAATGAAAAGTCTGTGCGCTGAAAAAAGAAGGTTTACTGAGCTTATGTGCACTTTTTGGTTAGGGTTACTTAGAAAGACCATAGGATTACTCTTTACTTGCCCACTGTTGTAGGATTGTTTCTGCATATGTAGCAATGCCTGCCTGGCATTGACAATAGGCCATTCAATGATGGCAATAGATCCAACTACAGACCAAGGTGAGCCCTGAGAGCAGGCTTGTTTTCAAGCTTGTTGGCCTTGGGTAGGAATATTTTCTCTGTCAAATGTAGCTGTCACATGACACAAATATGGGTATTGCATGTGCAATGTTTGTGATTTTCAAACTCTTGATGTTAATTTTGCAATCTTTTTGCTGAAAACTGATATATATATAGAGGTCCAAGAACTTACAAATTGAAAGTTTGTTGAAAGTTTACTTGAAACTTTCACTTTTGAAATTGAAACTTTGACCGGTCCAGTTGAAACTTTGACAGTGCCAAAGTGAAACTTTGACACTGTCAAATTGAAACTTTAACATCTCAAATTGAAACTTTAACATTGGCAAAACAGTGTTTATATTTATTTTAAATTTGTAATTTTTTTTGCAATGTCAAAGTTTCAATTTGAGATGTCAAAGTTTCAATTTGAGATGTCAAAGTTTCAATTTGACAGTGTCAAAGTTTCACTTGGAAATGTGAAAGTTGCAATTTGGAAAGTGAAAGTTTCAAGTAAACTTTCAACAAACTTCCAAGTTACAAGTGCTTGAAAGCATGCAAAATTCTATTTTCTCAGCAAACACAAGATAGATTATATCAAAATAATTGCAAAGAATACAACTTTTGCAAAATATTTAAAGTGTTACACATGACAACCTGTGCACATTTTATGTAGGATTACTGCTGGTGCCTTGGTGGTAGGATTACTGCTTCAGTTTCCCACAGTGGCTGCCGTAGAGACCCTGGCCCAACAGCTGCAAAGGCTGTAGGCACTTTAGCTATGGGAAAGAGGAAGAGTGATCCAGCTGAGCCAGAAGGCACTCCTCTTGAGGCGCTTGAGGATGTGAAGCCAGAGAAGGAAGAGCTTAAGGGCACTCCTGCAAATGTGAAGCCTGCTACCAAAAAGGCTGCTGCCAAGCTGCAAAGAAAATCTTGAGAAAACCAAGTGTGATGAAAAAGCCAGCTGCAAAAGCTGATCCCAAGCCCAAGCCACAGGCCAAGAAGCTACCTTCTTTGGGGGAGAAGGCAGCAGCATGGAGGCAGCTGCCAGAGGATGGTTCTGAAGACCATGAAGGTGAAGAAGAAGAGCCCAAGGAAAAGGACTTTGAAGTCGATGATGATGACAATGGTGAAGAGAAAAGGGATTATGCAAAGGCAAGAAAATTCACAAGAATGTTGGAGAGTGGAGGAGTCCCTGAGGACATCAAGTTGCTCTATGAGAAGGGTGGTGGTGGAAATGTGGGCAAAAGGCTGTTTAGATCTCAGCTGATCAACAGACTCTTCACAAAGACCAAGGGCAGATTGGTCATGTGCACTGACAGTCCCACTTGGCAGAACTGGGTCCAACAGCAGGACACAGTTTGCACAGGCCCAAACCAAAGGCATGGCCAAGAGCATGATCTTGTGGGGCACCTTTCAAGGCAATTCTGAAGCCTTCGATGCTGCAGTGGCAGCTGGGGATTTGATTCAGCAAGGCAACATGTACTTCTGGGCTGAAGTTGCCAGTGGCAGAAACAAGTCCCAGGTAACAGGAATGAAAGCAAGTGGTGGTGAACTTGCCTTGAATGCAGAAGAGTTCAGTACCTTGGGCAGCTTCATGGAGAGCAGGCCCTTTACAAAATATGGTATGTCAACATGGGATGCTGCCTTAGCTTCGCTTCAAGCCCCCAGCAACCCTTCTTCAGGCTCAAGGCCAGAGCTTTCACCTCCACTGTCCATGTTTGGCACCAGGGACAACACAAGGGCAACAAGGCCCCAGGCAATTGAAGATGCTTCAAGGCCAAAGGACTCTGCCATGAAATGGAACGCTGTGGAGAATATGGTGGCTGAGGCCAAAGCAGCACAGGAGAGGTTGCTGCGCGATGCTTCAAGATATGCTGCCAAGACAAAAGCTTGCAAGGATGACAATGTTGCTTTGATGCTCAAGGAGGCCATTGCCCTGCTCAATGGGACCGCCAACAAGTTGCAAGAATGTCAAATGTGGCAGGACTGCCCCCATCAGTTGCCCTCTTCATGTTAGGATTATTGGTCATCTGGCATGTTTTTGAAATTGCTCTTCCTTGCAAACTCATTTTAGGATTACTTTTCCTGGCAGCTTCAAGTTTCTTTCTTTTTGACATTCTGTGAATATTGTTATTTTTGCTTGCTCTTGCGCCCTGACAGGAGATCCCAGGTGGAATGTCCAAGGACAACTGCAAAGCATTCTTCAAGGTGGTGGCTGATGACAGTGAAAAGGCAAATGAGATTCTTGAGCAGCTCAAAGCTTTGCTCAAGGCCAGAGGCCTCTGAGATTTCTCTTGGTAAAGCTCTTGTGGCAAATGAGAGCTTGTAAGACCAAGCTGTGAAACCAGCACTGCTGTCAGGGTGCTCACTGCTGGAAAACATGATTGCTTTGTTGGAATGAGTTGGAGCTTGAATAGGATTACTGGCTTGTGTTGGAGTGAGCTAGGATTATTGCATTGGAGCTTGGGCAGGATTACTGGTTCAAGATATAGGATTACTAGGATTATTGTAGTAGGCCAGGCCACAACACTACACAGGGGGCCCAGTGTTGTTGCAGCTCTGGTTCCACATCTAGTGCCCCATTCAGGGGCAGTGTGCCCATGGTTCTTCACAGCCATGGATGGACAAAGCAGTGAAGAAGAAAGCTTGCCAAGGAAGAGAAGAAGAGGTGGCCAAAGACAAAGATTGCACAAAGACCTCCAGCATGAACAGCCTGCTGCTGCAAATCAATCAGCTTTGGCAACTGTTTTGGAGGAGCTGTTTTGCATTGGGACTTTGAGTGGGCAAGAAGTCCAGCAGCTGGCCAGCAAGGCTGCCATCGATTTTCAAGCAGCCAAGCCTCCTTGTTCTACACCTTTGCCCCTACAAGCACTTCAAAAGTTAGGGTCAGGAGGGGTACACAGCAACAATGTTCACAGAGACATGATGAAGGTCATGCCTGACAAATGTGATTTGCCTGAAGCATTGTTTTGTAAGATTCCTTTCAAGAAGGATGGCCAACAAGATCATTTCCAGAGCATTTTGCTCCCACATGTCATGTTCTCTTGGCTCTATGAAAAGCATCCTCAAAGGTGGCATGACATGTTCATGCCTGGAGGGCAAGCCCAGCTGGAAACTTTCTGGAGCCACTTCAAATTGCACCCCTCAATGAAGGGCAATGAGGAAGTCTTATCGAAAGACTTTAAATTCTCAGTGCCAGTGGCATTACATGGAGATGGAGTGCCCACAGTGGGCATAGGGAAGTGCTGGGGAAAACTCATGGAATGCTACAATTGGCATGGCTGCTTGTCCAAAGGTGGTACAAAAACCACTCACATTCTTTTTTGGGCAGCCTACCAAAAGTTCTTCCAGCCTGGTGATGGTGGCACACTGGATTCTGTCTTTAGAAATATTGCCTGGAGCTTCAAATCTTTGTTCGATGGCAGATGGCCATCAAAGAACTGGAAGAATGAGAAGTGCCTCTGTGTCAGTTTCAGAAGTTTTTTGTTTCTTTGGATTTGTGTTTGGCTTGTAGGATTATTTGTTTCATCCATCCATAGGATTATTTGTGCCATCTTCTCGGCTTGTAGGATTACTTGTGTTTCAATCAAGGTTTATGGCCCACAGCATCTCAGGTATTCTCCTGATTCCATCCCAGGTCAGCAAGCAGGCTTGCCATTGGCAGCTGGGTACTCTGCCACATTGATAGCTTTGGCAGGAGATTTGGAATACTTCAATCACTCCCTAAGCCTTCCACGATGGAGCTCAAACACCTCTTGTTGCCCTCATTGCAGGGCTACAAAGCAAGGTGCTTACTCTTGGACCGACTTCAAAAGCTCAGCTCAATGGCATGATGTCATTTGGACTCCTCAGAGTTGGCACTTGTGGGACCAGCGCTCTCCATGCAGGGTGTTTAAGGAGATACCTGGTCTGTCAGGGCTCAATGCAGCACTCGACTACATGCACATCAAGCACCTGGGCACAGATCAGTATTGTCTCTCAGCAGTACTGTACTATTTGACCCACATATGGCTGCCTGGATCACCTGCTGAAAACGCTGTCCACATTTGGAAGCAAGTTCAAGAAGCCTATAAGGTTCTTGGGGTCAGTGACCGCTTCTATGACCTCAGCAAGATCAATATTCACTCGCACTCGCACTCTCACTCTCACACTCACACTCACTCTCACACTCACACTCACACTCACTCACACACCACCATCGCCACCGTCACCACGATCCCCACCTTCATCACGACCATCACCTCTCTGGACCCCAATGCGTCTAGATCTCTAGACTTTCTGCTTATAGACCTCACACACACTGTTTGGGGTCTCTTGCCGGGATAATTTTCCAATTTCT